CTAGTGTATATGGAACACCAGCCTGTAAATCAACTATCATCTGAAATTGATTATTACCACCTTGATCATCATTTTGTGCTAATAAGTTGTAATTTGTATTGAATGGATCAAAGGTTCCACCATAGAGATAACCGTATGTATCCATGCTACTTGAACTCGCCAAACTATATGTTCCTGATGTATAGACAATTACTTGAATTGCTTGATAATATTTGCTTACATTTGGATATCGTGTACTGTTGAATGTTAATGTATTTGAATAATAAGAATAAGTAGAGTTTTCAGGGAATCCAGTTGTATTACCGTACGGTGCTGTACCTTCGAATCCGGTTGTAGTTGCGTTCCAAAATGCTGTTGTTGAAGGAGATCGTGTTGTAGTGGTCGTCAAAAATCCTATTGTTGAAGGTAATCCTATCGTTGTCGTTGACACTAAACATATGCAAAATTTTAACCGAATATCAGAGGAAAAATGTATGTTAAGGTTAGTTTAACTATGATCAAGTTTACTTTTATTTCCATGACGGTGAAAAATTTGAAATTATCTAGATCAGTAAATACAGTATTTTGTAATATAATTGTAATATGAAGAGGAGTAGAAACATGTGATAGATTTCATTTTTTTTTGTCTGCACGAGATATAACCAAGATCCAGAAATTCGTAATTCAAGGAGATTGAAGGATTTCAAGAAATTCAACAAAAATACATAACACAGAGTTCTAAGTGTAAACTATAATCGAATTCAAGGACTTCAAGCAAATCAAACAATTCTAGAAATTGAAGGAAGTTCACCAAAATTCAAGGAATTGAACAAAGATAGAAAACAAGGGGAGTTATAAGTCTGAGCTACGATGGAATTCAAGGAATTCAGAGCTTTAATTCAAAGTTAATTGCATGCGTTGAGTTTCTTGAATTCCTTGATTTGCTTAAATTCCTTTCATTCCTTGGTTTGCTTGATTTCCTTGAATTCCATGACGCCTTCACGGGATGTAACTCAAAGTTAAATTATGTCTTGAATTTCTTGAATTCCTTGATTTCCTTGAATTCCATGATACTATCAATTGATATAACTCAAAGTTATATGCATGTGTTGAGTTTCTTAAATTTCCTCTAATTGCTCGATTCTCTTGAATTCCATGATAGTTTCAAGCAATATACTTTATGTTATATGGATGTGTTGAATTCCTTGAATTGCCAATTTTCGGATCTTGGTTACTGCTGTACCAACTGTTCAATCAGTTTTGTATTGAAATTGTGCGCATTATGTAGTACTCAAAGAGTTATGAATACTGTGGAAAACGTTTGGGCGGCTAGTTTATGCTTATGAAAATATTTCATTTTTAAGGTTTGGTTTTACAGATTGCCGTGGTTCCCTTCAGAAACATCGAAAAAATTGATTTTCGAATTTTGACTTGAAACGTTATTCTACAATAGGCCTCATCGAAAACAACTCTTTGTTAAAGTATCAGATTTTGCTATTATTCCTATCACCAGATACAACTATTGCAACAATGAATATTTCATATGTTCAAATAGAGCATCAAGTTTGACGAAACGAACAAACCAAAATGCGTGAAACTTCTACAAAATACTATTCTTCCTATGACGTGTTCTGAAATAAAGGTTCGAATGGAAATTCGAAAATCAACTTGTTCGATGTTCCTGAGGGGCACGACGACATTCTGTAAAACCAAACCTTAAAAATGAAATATTTTCGTAAGCATAAGCTAGACGACCAAACTTTTTTACAGTATTCAAAACTCTTCGAGTGCTATATAATGCACATAATTCCAATGCAAAAGCGATTGAACAGTTGGTGAGCTTTCCTCGTCAGTATGATTGATCTCTACTGGATATGATATACTTATTTGTTAACTTCAAAATATAATTCTAATGGAATATTTCATGTACCAATATTGTGCTATGAATAGTGTACACGAACAACTATGATGGCTAGAAATCAAAGTATTACTAACTGGTGCTTCCTTGTTCGAAAGTGTTGTTCGATACCATTTGAACATAACCTGGACCCGCCGCAATAATTGAGAATGGACCAATGATATTCTCTTGGTATGTTGTAAAGACTAGTGTATATGGAACACCAGCCTGTAAATCAACTATCATCTGAAATTGATTATTACCACCTTGATCATCATTTTGTGCTAATAAGTTGTAATTTGTA